GAGAGTATGGCTCATGCAAACGACCGGTGGGAGCAGTTCAAAGCCATCAAGGGTCATTTTCGCAAGATGGCCCAAAATGGTGGAGTTCCAACTGAGTGGGTGCAGACCTTGCCTCTAGACCCGGAAGAGTTTGCGGAGCAGTATCCGGGGATCTGGCAGGATTTCTCCGCGACACGCGGGAATGAACTCGTGAAGATGGAAGAGAGATGGCACCTCCAGCTGGCTGCCATCAAAGCCACTATCCCCATGAGGGGGACACACTCCATGGTCAACAACCCGAGGACTGGAGTGGCGGAAAGTGAAGCCGCCGGCTCTACCAGGGCAGCCCTGAATTCCTTTTTGGGGATGTCGCAGGCTCAGTCGGCCCAGCTGGCGCAAGCAAGCAAGACTCGCCGCCGGCTGATGGAAAAGACTCCGCCTGAGACCAAGTTCAACCGGGCCATGACTTTGTTGGAGGAGCTGACAGCTAGCGAGCGCGCCCGCAGCGCAGGTCGCCCGAGTGCTCCGGCACAGCCACAGGTCGCGACCCCGCCGGCTGCTGAAAGCCCGCCCGTCACTCCCGATGCAAAGCGGGGGAATCACGGGCGGGACACGCCTGTGCCAGGGGCGCCGACGAAGAATGGTTCTCCAGGCCTACAGCTTGTTCCTGCAGAGGTCAATGCTGAAGACGAAAGTGATGACTATGCCGAGCGGGTGGCTGCTGCTGCAGCGACTGTGCAGACTTTGGACCAGGCTGTCGGACTGAAGCGACCGGCAAGCAGCTCAGAGATGGAGCCAGTGAAGAAGAGCAAGCCAACACCGCAGAAGCCGATTCCGGTCGAAGAACAGGAGGCTGACAGTGAGGTCATGAAGAAGCCAGGCACCTCGGGCGGGAAGAACGCCACCCGGAAGCCCGCGGCATGCTTGTCGCAGAAGACCGAGTCGAAGTGCATGCGCAAACCTGCTGCGCAGAAATCCACAGTGCCCTCGAAGCCCATGAAGTCGACGAATTTACCCAAGCCTTCGCCCTCGCTGCGCAAGCAGTACTCGCATGGCTGCCCCAAGTGTCGCTGGCAGGCAAGCGGGCGCACACCAAGCTGCTACAGTGTGTGATGGCTATCCGTCAGCTGCGCATCCAGTCGCCTCGGACCGCTGGTGGGAAAAAGGTGCGCAGTCCTCTTCGATACGTTAGCAAGTCCGGCTCTGCCGCTTTTTTTTGTGTTGTTTTTGGTCATGCGCTTGGCGGCTCTGCCGCTTTTTCTTTTGCACTCAATTGTATTGTTTGGCAGCCTCAGGTTGCATGCCTTGACATCTGCTAGTGTGTTGCCTCAAGCGTACCCGGCCGCGTTGGACAATGTCGACCTCCAGCGACTCGAGTAGCTACGATGTGCAGGTGATTCCTGCCAGGGTTCACCTGGCAGTGCAGATCACTGTGCGGAAGAAGAAATCCCGGCACCGCAGAAGCCGTGGACGCTCCAGGCGGGCGAGTCGACGTTCTTCCCGGCACAGGAGAAGGAGGCAGAGTGCGTCCAATGGCCGCAGCCGCAGCAGTGCGACTTCCCCGGCTGGTGGCCCGCCGCCACCTGACCCTGCAGCTGACTCCAAAGTCAGCGCAACTCATGAGGCTGGTGCGAGTGAGGACGCGCAAGCAGACGAGTGCGCGCAAGATCCCTGCGGTTCTGGCCTTGCGACCGGCGCACTACCGTCCGATCGGCCAACCGCAGGAAAGGATGAAAGTCCTCACAGCCCCAGCGGAAGCTCGACAGAACCTACCGCCGACGAAGCGCCGTGTGCTACTCCTGTGGCCTCCGGCGCGCCCTCAGCTGAAGATGGCCCTTCAACGCAAGACACAGTGAGGCAGCCAAAGCTGGAGGCTGCCGTTGACCGTGTGGTTGGCGTCGAAGCAGCTCTAAGAGGCTTGCGCGAACTGGTCGGTGAGGACACCGGTGCTTCGATGCGTGCGCCCGCAGTGCGCCTTGCCCAGGTGCGTGCTGAGTTTTTTGGCAGCAAACTGCACTGCATTGCTCGGCTCAGCCGATGTTTTTTTCAACCCACATCAGCTCGACGATTTTTCTTTTTGAGGCTCGAGGAGCCGACCAATGCTCCCAAGGCTTTGGGCTCCCAGTGGTTGGAAGCGAGGATCGAAACTCATGAACTTTATGCACATATATAGAATTAAATATTCAGCTTTTTATTTTATAGAACTTGACACTGCAGGATCGAGAGCCCACAGGGTTCAGAGACTAAAGGCGAGCCTGCGCCAGAGCCACCGAGAACGAGGATGGGAACTCATGAGCTTTATGCATTGTAGAATTCATTATTTGCCGATTGTTTTCATAACTTGTCACTGCAGGAGCCCGAGTTCACCTCCTGCGCAGGAATCAGCAATGAAAGGCAAGCCTGTACCGGAACCACCGACTCAAGGCCAGAGTGAGTCAGTGCCTGAGAAGTTTGCGGCTGCTCCATGGCGGCAACAAGCGAAGGATCCCGTCAAAGTGGAGGCCGCGTCCGAACCCTCATTGCAATCTGAGACAACGACGCGGCCCACCGAGAAGCACCCGAGTGAATCTGCGCAGCAAGATGTTTTGGTCTTGGAAGTTTCTGGAGGAAACTTTACTGAAATTCTTGCCTCAAGCGCTGCCAGCACCGCTGATGATGCTGCTTCATCCTCGACGATCCCGAAAGCTTTCCGAGCAGGGAAAACGATCCCTGGAGTTCCGTCAGGACCTTATTGCACAATTTTCTTTGAATAAAGCTCGCGCTGTCAATGAAGTCACTAATGTCGTTTTGTACATTACAGTTTTTGTTTCAAGCATCAAGGTCGAAACGATGCACATACCGTATTCGACATGGATGTTCGAAACCGAGTGGCAAGGGAGCACAGGCGAGTCAGTTTTGCTTTGTGTGTTTTTTCCACTGATAGACCTTTGCCTCACCAAGCCTGCACTTTTGTCTCTGGATAGGACAAATTGATGAACAAACAACAGGGAGAGCGACATGGTTGAGAGTGGTCAGGACAGCAAGTAAAGACTTGTTTGCAGCACCAGTCTGTAATGATTTTTGTTTATTGTGTGTGTAAAGTCAGATATTCATGTGAACTTATTCATATCGACCTTGCAAAATTATCATCACTCTGCGCAGGACAACTTCAGCATTTGATAGCACTGCTTGGAGAAAAAAATATGGGCGCATTTGGGCACGGCCTTGCCGATCATGTTTTTCCACGATTGGTACTACACGGCTTTGCCGTTTTTTGTTTGTTTAGATTTATTAGTTGATATTATATATAATTTTAGCACCGCCATATGTTTATGTTTTGTTGATGCTGGGAAGTTACTACACGGCTTTGCCGTTTTGTTTGGTTTGTTTAGACATACTAGTTGATATTTTTGTTAATTTCAACTTAGCCCGCAAATTACATAATTGATGAATCTATAAGATTAACGGTACTCAATACTAGATCACTTTTAATTTGACATATTTTTTACAGTAGTTGAGATATATCAATATTTATGAAATTGGTGTGGGTTTATAAGTGTTGAAATATTGTATTACATATTTGCAATTGAAAATGGTTTATAACCAAATTATTGATTATTTTGTTTTCAAAGCACACAAAGATTTAATTATCAGAAATTTTCAATCTTTATAATTAATATGTTTTATACTATCAATCAATATTACAGCATATATTGAATAATTCTTTTGTGTATATATTTGACAGTACTTTTATATCAAAATATTTACTAATTTATGTCAGTTAATTCTATACCAAAAAAAGTTAAAATCTATAATATATTTGACAATATGTCCTTTCAACATGGTCATTGTATATTCATTAAAATCTATTTACCATAATTTTATTATTTGTTTTCAAAATTTTTATTTATAGAATTACTATTCGTCATACTTTGTCAGTTTTTTAAACAGTTTTATGTTTCTAAAGTATTAGTTCAAAAAGTTGTTATATTTTTCTGGCAATTCTATTGTTCTAAAGTAATATTGTGTCATAATATTGTATTTTATATATTTTTTACTTGCAAACAGTAATTTTATGTCAGAATTTGTCAGATTTTTTTTGACAGTTTTATTTTTCTAAAGTAATATTATGTCAGAATATTGTCATATTTTTCTGATAGTTTTTCCATTCCAAAATAATATTATGTCAGAATTTGTCAGAATTTTTCTGACAGTTCTTCCCTTCTAAAGTAATAATATGTCAGAATTTGTCAGAATTTTTCTGACAGATCTTCCCTTCTAAAGTAATATTATGTCAGAATTTGTCAGAATTTTTCTGACAGTTCTCCCCTTCTAAAGTAATATTGTGTCAGAATTTGTCAGAATTTTTCTGACAGATTTTCCCTTCTAAAGTAATATTATGTCAGAATTTGTCAGAATTTTTCTGACAGTTCTCCCCTTCTAAAGTAATATTGTGTCAGAATTTGTCAGAGTTTTTCTGACAGTTATCCCCTTCTAAAGTAATATTGTGTCAGAATTTGTCAGATTTTTTCTGACAATTTTTCATTTATAAAGTAAAATTGTGTCAGAATTTGTCAGATTTTTCTGACATTTTTTTTATATATTAGTATTGTGTGAAAATTTGTCAATTTTTTTCTGACAGTTTAACCTTTCAACAATAGTATTGTGTCATAATATTGTCAGATTTTTCTGACAACATATTACTTTCAAAGTATTATTGTGTCAGAATCTGGTCGATTTTTTCTTCTATATTTTTTTGACTAAGTCAATATTTAGTCATAATATGTTAATTTTTGTCAAAATTTGTCAAAATGTTTTAGACAATCTTTCAATGCTTAAGGACTGTAATATTTGTTTTAACGTAATATGTTTTCGTACAGTTGGTAAATTATATGTTTTTAGTAATTAGATATACAATTGTTCAGTATATAAAAATAGTATTTTTGTACTTTTCAAATAGATTTATTCAACAACTGCTTTTATGCATATTTATTTCTGAAGGCATTTGCAGCAAACAAGCTCAACTGACTAAGCTCCTAGCAATGGGCAAAGGATCAGCAAAAGGAAAAGCAAAGGCGAAAAGTACAGCGAAGGACAACGAGCGCGAGATTTACAAACGCTTGCACTCAAAGCTGACCTACCTGAGGAAGGGCACTGGTGAAAACGCAGAAGCTGCTGAGGCGGCATTCCAGAGGTTGAACGACCCGGCTCACCGGGAAGAACTGCTGAGCAAGTTTATGGAGGATCACAAGTGCACATGGCTCAGCAGTATCTCAGACATTGATTCAGAAAGATATTTTGTTTTAATGTTTTATTTGTAAGTTATACTTTCATAAACAATGACCCAGGTACCGAATGCAAGGAGACACGCTCCAACACCTCGATGAATCTCGAGAATGACGAGTGGCTCAACCTGTTCCAAATGAAGAATGTCCTGGGCATGAAGGACGTATCCAACGCTGACCCCTTGCTTTTGGCCGAGCTTGGACGCTATGAACAAAGAGACCATCCATGCCAGACCTGGAAAGAAGCTGGGATGAAAGAGTACCATTATGTGAAGAAATCCGGATCGACCAGCTCAACTCACACTCATGATCACAGGATTATTCGCACCATGGACACTTCCAAAGCAAAAGCTTTGAAGAATGATACTGAAGGTGACCCTCCAATCAAAATCAATTGGCCAAAGGCCTGCAAAGCATTGATCAAGAACATCAAGACTGAAGTGACCAAGGGACAGAAAGCAATCACCAGCTCCAAGAAGATTCGGGCAACCATCAAGAAGATGGATAAATTGCATGACCTCTTGTCCAAGCTGGCCGACGCTGAGGGCAACTTCAATGCGCGCTGCGATGGATGGCAGGAATCTCTGATGACATTAGAATCTCAGCCACACAATGAAGAGACGCACCAAGGCTTGACCGACTTGAAATCTGATATGACCAACACCACCGTGGCATTTCAAAAGAGTGTGGACGGTGCTGACAAAGCACGGAAGGAAGCTGAAGAGCTGACCTCTGCAGCCGAGGGCTAGGATGCTAACACTCAAAGAGTGTCAACTAGAAGCACTTGGGAGCGCTGTGAAAATATTGCGCAACTTCGTATTTCACAGCTGCGCCGTTTCCGATTTGATTTTAAGTATTTGTTTTATCGGCTTGGCCGATTCATTTTTTCAATGAATAGTTTTTAGAGTCCGATGTTTTTGCGGCTCTGCCGTTTTTTTTTCATTGTTTGTATTCTTTTTGAACTAGACTAAAACTCATTGATTTTTCAGTTGTGCAGTTGGCTCAATCAAGGTGTCCGCCTGTAGATTCGGCAAGCAATGTGGCGGAAGCGAGTCCATGCCCGCTTTTATGGGGACTATGTGGAGCTGTTTCGAGGCTCCAAAAAAATTGGAAGACACAAGAAGATCGAGAAGTATTTTCGTCGAGAAAAAAAACTCGTCCCCCATGAGCCGCTTGAAGATGCCAGTGCCGAAGAGAAGATTGACTACTTGGCAACCGGATGTTTTGAAATGCTGCGCCCACTTCGAAACCACGCCAGGGACATTCTGGTGCACCTTGAAGTGGAAGAGGAAAAAGATAAGTACATGGATGTGATCATGGACCTCGACACGAACTACCTCTTTCCAGCCACTGTGAGACTCTTGAACCGGCACGATGGTGATGGCGCATCCATTTTGAAGGAAATGCCCTTCACTGTGCAGACTTTGGTGAGCAAGGTCATAGAAACCAAAAGGTTTCTCTCGCTTGATGAAAACCAAGCCCTTGCTCTGTATGCTGCACACAGGGAGTGCGAGGAAATTTGAATTTTGCATAATTGTGTGCATATCCAATTCACCGCTTAATTGAACCACACGAGCTAAGAGCACCTGGTGGTAAAAGGACGCATCAATTGCACACACGACTTCCTTTGCGGAACTTCCGCTATTCAATTTGATTCGTTTGTGAGAACAAATTTGGTTCAAACTTCGCCATGCTCCCAAAGGGACCGCATGCCGACGCAATGTGGTGGGAAGCGAAAAGACACTGAGGAGGCCTTACTGTCCTTGAAGGGAAGTTTAGCTCAGCTGGCTAAGGCCGCCTCTATTGTTGATGGAAATACAGGACAAGAATATCAGCGCAAAAAATTGAGGAAAACATTGGAGGATACAACCGACTGGATCTTTGAATTGTTTACTGAAGTGAAATCCAATGGGAGAACGCATTCGCTCCACTTCGCGTGTCCTGGCAAAACAATGCGCTTTTTAAGCCACAGATGTCCGAACTGGGCACAGGTCGGGGCTTTCCTTCTCAACCGCCCTACGCTCGAATGCGTCGTCTTCGAGGACGAGATTACGGGCGGCAACGTGGTCGCGCCCGACCCACATAGAAAGGTCAGCGTCGTCTACCTGGGGTTCTGGGTTTTGGGCGAGCACCTATGCGACGCCAAGTTTTGGTTGCCGGTCTTTTGCTGCCGGCATCAGCTGCTGGTGGATCATGAAGGAGGGGGCTCTGGTCTCATGACCATGATCTTGGGACGACTCTTTCTGGAGCCTCAAATCCTTTACCACAAGGACCAATCCTGGAAATGTAAGCTGGTGCTTCGCAACTTTTTAGCGGACGCTCCCGCGCTCAGGAGCGCATTCAGCACCAAAGGTGCGAACGGGATGCGACCGTGTGCTCTTTGCTCGGCGGTGATCGGAAAGCGGTGGGATGTTGATGGTTGCTGCAGCTTCGACGAGACCAATATGGACCGCTGGTGCCGGTGTACCGACTCGGAGCTGCGGGCCATGGCTGCCGAACTTCGATCGGCCGCACAGCACGAGTCTTTGGCAGTTCTTCGCAAAATGGAAAAAACACGCGGACTCACATACAATGAGCACTCCGTTCTCTACCAGGAGAATTTACGTGGCGTCATCGACGTCGCGCGTTCTTGGACGTACGATTCCATGCACTCTTGTTATCAGAATGGCACTGGCAGTTTGGAAATGTTTTTCATTTACAAGCACATGCAAAAGAAGCACGGCTGTACATTTGAGAAGTGGAGAAACACATTGGAACAATGGTCGTGGCACAGTGAAACCAAACGCAAAATCAAGAATCAATTGTGCGCTGGACGCGAAAAGACTTGGGAGACGTCGTACAAAGGCTCCGCATCAGAATTGATTTCCTTGTATCCGTGCGTTGTGCTTTGGTGCCAGCAATTCGACCGCGACCCTCAGCTCGCGGTGTTCTTTGCGATGTGGGAGGTTATTTCCGCGCTGGAATGGTCCAAGCGCGAGCCAGATCCTTGTACTGGATTGATGTTGTTTTTGTTTTGTACATAATTTTTTTGCGTTGCTATGGTCGCAGCTTCTTTTCTTGATTCACAAACGAAAAAACAAACCAGGAGAATTTTGAGCTCTGGGCGGCCGCCTTGGAGAGCGCCCTGAAAAAACACATGGCCTCTCACGTCTCCGTGCACGGCAAGGAGTATTTGCTACCAAAGCATCATTTTATGATGCACGTGCCAGGACAACTCTTGCGCCATCGCCGGATGCTTGACTGCTTTGTCACAGAACGGAAGGGGAAATCTTTCAAGGGCTTGTTGGATGCCAGCGGCAGTGGCCACTCTGGTTTGGAGAAGTCCATTCTCCGCAGGGCCTTGTACGACCAAGTCGATGATCGCTACTTGCCCTGGACTTCGACTCTCCTGGAGCCCTATCGACGCAGCGATGCTGGTACCGTCAGCATGAAGATGTACTGGGTGTCCATGCATCGCGAATTAGTCCAGGCGGGCGACATCCGCGTGCAGGGCGATCATGTCTACTTGGTGGAGGCTTGCATTGAGAGGGATGGTTCTTTCTTCCTCTTGGCGAAAGAGGGTCGCTTCGTCAAGCGACTAGCGTACATGGACGTGTGGACTAAGCCTCAGGATCAGAAATTGGTCCGGCTCCAGAGGCCACTGCACCAATGCTTGGCTTGGAAGCTGCAAGGCAGCCAGCTGCTGACTCTCGACTACCACCGCGGTAAGTGAGTGCCAAAACGGGCCTTGCAAACCTGTGTCCGCGCGGCTTTGCCGCTGGGTTTTTTGGGCGCCAGCTCTGGCTTGCTTTCTATTTTTTGTTTTCGTAGCAGGCTCGAACTCAGAAGGCCGCTGTCACAGCGAAGAGGGTTCTGTCGCAGCGCGGCTTCGCCGCCGTCACTTCTCGCTGCTTGTGTTTTTTTCGTTTTTTTTCGGTCACACTTTGCCAACTCTACCTATATTACCCAATGTACGTCTTCTTATAGCCCACCTAGCCGACTTAGCTAAGTCCGCTAAGTCCGAGCTAAGTCCGAGCTAAGTCCGAGCTAAGTCAAAGCTAAGTCCAAGCTAAGTCAAAGCTAAGTTGTGTGCCTAAGTCCGACTTAGCTTCGACTTAGCTAAGTCCTAGCTAAGACTTACTAAGTCCTATAAGTCAAAGCTAGGCTTAGCCGAGCTTAGCTAAGCAGGGTCCGCGCAAGTAGCAATCGCCCCAAAAGATCAGCGGTTGGTTTCGATGAAAAACGAGAACACCAGGAGAAAAGAACACCAAAAAACGCTACCAGGACCCTCCTGTCGGGGTGCCCTGTCTGAAAGCCTTTGGGTAGTGTGGGGTAGTTCAGCCAGGACACCCCGAGGGTCGGAGGGTCCTGGTATCGTCCTAAGAAGCGCCTGGTACAGGTCCACCGGGTCCAATCGCTCGCCCCTGTCGGATTCCGTCCTTCTCGGGGTTTTGCACCACGTGGACCTGGATGAAATCCAGTTTCTTCAAATCCACCCGGAAGCCAATTCTGCCTTTTCTTGTTTTTATGGTCGGTGCACAAAAGTTACCTTCATGCCATGTCCCATCCGATCAGATTACTGCGGCTTTGGGCCTGCGGCCTGCGAAGTGGTATGGTTCCGTTTCGGTTCCGGTTCGGTTCCGTCCTGTTCAGCAGAAACTCTTTGTTGCAACCCAGAGGATGGGTTGAACCACTACTGTTTCGTTCGTTGGTGGGTGTCTTCTGGGTAATGGACTCCGCACTCCTTTCACACCATCCGGGATTTTCACCCACTCCCATTTCTGGGACCTTCAACCACTTCTGCCAGGAAAATCCTGCGGAGGGTTCAAGAGCTGAGTGCTGTCAACTTGACCTTGCCAGACCTGACCAACCTTGACCTCAGCAACTGTCACTGGTCGCATCTGGGGGGGCAAAGACGTAGGTTCACGAGAAGGAGCACAACTGGTGCATCAGTTCAACGGGATTGAGTTGTTATTTCATGTTAACTCAGTGGATTGCAGTTGTTTTTCTATGGGATCCAGTTCTAGTATTTGTATGGGGAATTTGGTCCTTCTCCAAGTGCTTCGAGCAAATTCCAGCGTTGTCGGGCGCAGGATGGAGTGTGACGGATAATTAAGCACTTCCAACAAGTCCAGTTTAGACCCACAAAAAGCAGCACCAACCGTCACCAGGCAGGGTGTACTGACATGTTTGAGTGTTTCGTTATGGATCCACATACCCTTTGAGAAGGGGAGACACATTACATAGGCATGGAGGGTCCAAGTACCTTCTGAGAAGGTATGTGGATCCCTAGAGTTGGTCGAGATTGGGTCCCAATCTATGATCAGTAATCGGTTTTCGGAGGAGTTGTTCACTTACTTCTCAGCCTGGGGCCAGGCAGGAACTGCACTTGTTCCCGACCCCCAAAGGGAGACACTAACAGATGAGGTCCTCACACCTTATCGGCCCCCGCCTTCCCTTTTTGGACACCGTCCGAGCGGCGCGTCCGTCGCGTCCTTTTCATGAAAGGGCCGTCGGCCCATCCGTCGAGGACGCTCGGAGGCTCCGGCCCCGTCGTTCTCAGGTCCCGTGCAAAGCTCAGCGGAAGATTTGCTCCAGCTGCTCGCACGCTCGCGGCACTTGGCCACGCTGAAAGCCTCGAATGCAGGGTCACCTTGGCGAAGACCGGGGACGGGGACATCCACGGAAATACAGGGCTTTTGGAGGCTCCAGAGATGATACGTAGTAGCACTGGCACAGCACTGATAACCTACCCCAAGCATCCCATAGC